CCCGAATCTCGTTAGTGCGTGCTTTCCTTTCTCGTTTATTATTCCATCTTCCGTTCTGCCCTTTAATCTACAAATGCGTGCGATGGTTCCTAGGAACTCCTTGATCAGCTATCATTCGTATTAACGAAGATGGACTATTTCTCATTTCTCGTAAAGTTTGAATGTATAGGTATTCTTTATTCACACGATCTGTTTCGCAACAATTTAATCCCTAAAAGATCAAATCGTAATGGAATATAACATGAGATACGATTGCGCATGTGTAAAAGTAACAATTATAGTATGGTTATTACAATAACATTTTACATTTCATATAAATTGCAATTATTTCTCGACGGCCTGACAAGTAAACACGGATTCACTCATGTGCGTATTGCATTTTTCAAGATAAAAGTATTATATTTTATATAAAAATATATTATTATATTGATTAATTTATCGGGGCAATAAAATAATGACGCTATGCGAAACCTTAATTATCAACTTTGCTCTCTTAATTTGATTCGAGACTTTATATCTTTCTCGCGAAAATATCGCATAAAAAAAGACGCTTTTTAGTGGGCAGATAACGGCGCGCAGAATAACTCGCGATTATGCGTGCCAAAGTGACGCGAGGAGCAAAAAAGGGATATGTACGGGGTACCTTAAATGGTAATGCCTCGGGCTTTTGCCCCGAAATCGCGATCTCTCCGGATTTCGTTCCGTCTTTCTCTCTCTCTCTTTCTCTCTTCCTTCGTCTCACGCTCTTTTATCCCACATCCGTCTCTCCGGCAACTGCACAGCCCTCGCGTCTAGCGCGTCCCAGATTTTAGCTGTAAGTGGAAAAACTCACCCCCCTCCCCCTCCCCGCTCGAAGGTTTTACGTTGGTCGTGGCACCAAGTGACTTTTGTCTTTTTCCGCGACCGATGTGCGGATTCTTACGACGATCAGGCGGTTTATACCGACGACTGCATTTCGTCATTTGTCAAATTGTAGACTCGTAATCGATGTACGCGATGCGATGAAAGCGGTGTTTGACACGGTTCACTAGCCGGCACTGTTTGAGATCGAGACTACCAACGGGCATAATTGTGTATCTATATTAATCTGGCTGCAGAT